GTTTCCTCTTCTTCTTCCTCGCTCTCGCCTCCGTCACGGTTCCTTCACACTCTCTCCATCTTATCAATCTCCCCAGGTATGCTTTCATCTTCCTCTTACTAACCAACCCTTCTCGTAGATTCATTTCCAACACACAAAGTCCTCTACTTTCTCTAAAATTCGTTAAACCCTAATCGCCTCTGTTCAACCCTAGAAAAAAGCTTAAACCTTTACTAACTCTATAGATCCAATCTGAATCAATCAATCTTCCTCTGTTTTAACAGGTTTGAAAAATGGGAACTCCAGAGTCTTCCCGAGAGCCCTGCCCTGACCGTATCCTCGACGACATCGGCGGGGCCTTTGGCATGGGAGCTGTAGGAGGAGGAGCCTTCCATTTCATCAAAGGAACTTACAACTCACCCAAAGGAAGCCGCTTTATCGGAGGCAAGCAAGCGGTGACGATGAACGCTCCTCGTGTCGGTGGTAGTTTCGCTGTTTGGGGAGGTCTCTTCTCCACTTTTGATTGCTCCATGGTGTATCTCAGGCAAAAGGAGGATCCTTGGAACTCTATCTTTGCAGGTGCTGCCACTGGTGGGTTTCTAGCTATGAGGCAGGGGCCTAGTGCGTCTGTTAGGTCTGCGCTTTTCGGTGGGGTTTTGCTGGCTTTGATTGAAGGGGCCGGGATTGCTTTGAATAAGTTGATGGCTCAGCCTCAGCAGATGCAAATGGAGGAAGGGATGATGCCTGGGATGCCGCCTGGGGTGCAGATGGGGCAGGTGCCTGGGATGCAGCAGATGCCGAGTCAGGGACAGGGACAGGTGATGCAAGAGAGTAGTGATTCGTCGTCGTCGTGGTTGGGAGGTTTGTTTGGTAAGAAGAATGATGAGGCGCAGGTGCAGACGAGTAGTGGAAGTGAAACTAAGGTGTTGGAGAGTTTTGATGCGCCTCCAGTGCCATCATTTGAGTACAAGTAAGCTTTGATGGGTGGATCCTCTCTTGTTCATCTCAATCGTTCGTTGCCTGCTACTCTTCAGGAGTGTGTTCTGTTTTGTGGTAGTCCATGTATACCTCGTTTGTTTCTGCAGAACTATATACTTGTTCTTGGAAGAATGAGTTTGTCTTAACAATTATGTTTTTACGTTCTTTGTGCTTACTGTGAAACCATTCCACAACTATTTATTTGTTGGGTTTTGAATAAACGTAGTATTAGATTTTTCATAGTGGGAATGTTTGAGCAATGAAAATGAGTTCATTTGGAGGATTTTCTGTCTCTTGTTAATAGTTTTTCTTCACCCAACAACTCAAACACTGTCACTCATGTAGACAAAAGTTCAAAAAGCACAGTTATTTTAGGGAAATCATGATATTAGTTTTGTATGAATAATAATTAGGGAACATGATGTATTTGTTCTTTGAGAGTTACTAACAACTTAGTTATCTCTTTGTCTTTGTTGATATTTAATGGGCGAATAGTGCTTCGGATCTCTTTTGATTGCTTTGGGAGTGCAATTTGTAGCAGGTTGTCTGCATCTCTATCATGTATCTGTCAGGAAATCTAGTCTCTGTAGACAGGATCGAGGACTTGTATACTCTGAGTTGTTAGCTTAAATATTACTAACAGTTGATTCCTCATGAAGCATGTAGTAATGATGTAAACTAGTATATTGCAGGGTTCCAATGGTTTTATAATTTCAAATTGTACCGGCCGGTTCAGTAGACAACATTTTTAAAATATATTATTATTAGTTGTAAGTTTGAACATTCAAAATGAAGAGTAAATCAACCAACCCTCTCTTCTCTTCAGTCTCTCTCTCTCTCTCACGCAGGAGTCGTCCTCTTTGCTTCTCTCTCTCTCTCTCTCTTCCTTAATGGTTTCTGGGAAATGTTGTTTCCGATCTAGTTGACCTTCTTTGATCTTCAAAGAGTTAGTGAGAGGCTTTTCGTTTCTAATTTAGGACACGATTCGTTACCACACAGTAGCCAGAGCCCACTTCTTGTCAAAGGTTAGAGAGCTCATGTGAAACTTATCTCTCTTTTCTGAGTAGTTTAGTCTTATCATCTAAATTTAAATTCTGAGTAATGTAGTCTCATCTCTTTTTTTTTTTATAAAGCTTTGATTATAGGAGAACAGACACAAACATAACTCTCTCTTTGTCTTGTCTCTTTTGATTAGAACTCACAGTTGATAAAAAAAAAACATCTGTTTCTGTTATAAAAGCTTCCGTCTTTATTTTGTTTGCTAGTGTAGACAAAGGTAAAACCCTTTTTTTTCTTAAAAGATAAACAGTCATATATAGACATTGCCTCCACATACACAACTATGTATAAACTCACTTCATGTTGTTTGGCGTTTATAGTTAAGGAAAATGTCAATGCGAAATGGATCTCAAAGGAGATCATCACCTAGCATTGTAGCAAGATTAATGGGTCTTGATGGGATGCCTCCTCACATAGAACCCAAACCTTTGGAGAATCAGCAACGCAGACCATCTGATAAAGCTCGTGGGAAACAAACATATAGGAGTGGCTCAATGAATGAGCAGAGATTCAAAGACGTCTTTGAAGTCTTGGATGCAGATGAAGGGCAGAGCAGTACTAGTTTGTATCAGAGGAGAAGGCTGAATCCTAATCTAAATGAGGCAGAGATGGCTTTCATAGAGGCTAGGCGTCTATCCAATGATGAGAAACTCCGTTACTCCAAAGAGTTTAGTGAGACTCTTGAAGCTCTAGACTCCAACAAGGACCTCTTATTTCAGTTTCTTCATCAACCAGATTCTTTATTCACAAAACAGTTGCATGGTCTTCATAGCATAGCACCACAACCACATTGCAGTCAAGCTACCACTTTGAAGTTCTCCAACAGAGAAAGTCTTGTAAATAATATCAAAACTCTCAAGGTGGACAGAGAGTTCTCAGGGAAGAGACACAGATCACCTCAACGGCATGGTGATGGTGTTGACCTATCAAAGAAAAGTGGTTTGAAACCAACCGAGATTGTTGTTCTGAAACCTAATCTTGGGAAGCCACAGACTTGTGCTGGAACTCTTCCATCACAAAGTGATGAGGCCAGGGAAGATCTCAGGCTTCCTTGCACCAGCAACCAGGATTTTAAAGCATCTGGCAGTTCGAAAGGTAATGAAGACGTCTTTCTATCAAGAAACAAGTCAAGAGATTCCAGAGAGATTGCTAGAATAGTATCTAGACAGCTGAAGGCAAGTTGTGGCAATGAGAGTTCCATAAACTTTGAAATGTCAAGGTATAGAGGTTACACAGGGGATGGAAGCTCATCAGGGAGTGATTCTTCAAGAGCAAGAACTGAGTTTACCCGCAAGAAACACAGTCGGTCTCTGTCTTCCAGGTCTCCGGAGTCAGCAAGTAAGGAGGCCATGAGGAGAATATCTGAGAGATGGAAGCTGGCTCACAATTCCGAGAAAGAGATGGAGATTAGAAGAAGAAACACATTGGCTGATATGCTTGCAACTTCAGATAGAGAAGCGAGACTAGCAAGTTTTAGTAGAACCACTTTCCAAGAAAGGCTCAGTAAAAGATCTGAAAGACAGTCTGAGTTGCCAGATCCGCTTGGGATAAGTAGTAGAGATGGTTGGAAAGGCACTAGTAGAAGAAACCTTTCAAAATCCAGACCAGTCATGCATAAGGACAGAAGTTTTAGTCACACGATTGTGCTTCCTAAGAAGCTAACCACTCGAGATGGATTAGTGAAAGGGAGTTCTCTTCACATCAGGGAAAACAACTCTCATTTTTCGGATATTAGCTTCTCAGAGATCAACAGACCAAGTTCAAGTAAAAGTCTAAAAACAGAGAGAAGCTTATCAGTTCATGCAGATTCAGATACTGAAAGTAGTTCAGACTATGAGGATGCAAAGAGTAATCCATCCTTGGAACCACTTGATTTGTCAGCAGTTACCTCGTTAACCGACCATGTAAGTGTGAAGTAACGCTTCAACATCATTGTTTTGTGTTCTAGATCCCATTAGTACTGACAGATTTTCTGTTGTTTTGATCATTGTTATGTTCCTCAACCACAGCCTCAGGAGATTGCAGAGGAAGGAGATCAACCAAGTCCACAAACTTCTTTGGACAATGAGTTTTCATCTAATTCTGAGTGCTTTGAGAGTCTTAGTGCTGATCTCCAAGGTATCTCAATCATATCTTATTGATGATCCTTTGATCCTTTACACTTTGAGTTCATTATCAATTCCAAAAATGGCTTTTGGAATACTATTTAGCATCTGTAGGTAATGAAAACACTGAAACGTTTCAATAACTGGAAAAAAATGTTTTAAGCATTTCTCTTCATTTTCAGGGCTCAGAATGAGACTTCAGCTACTCAAACGCGAGTCAGATACTTACAACGAAGGCGACATGCTCGTTTCAAGTGAAGAAGAAGAGGAAACATACATAGTAACAGATGAGACGATGATCATCCATGAGATAGTAGAAGACTGGAAGTCTCTATACTTGACTGATATCTTAGCAAACTCCAGGTTCAATGACTTGAACCCTACAAGCTTCATGGCCTCATGGCACTCCTCTGAATCACCTCTAGATCCATCCTTGTTTGATAACCTTGAGAAGAAGTACTACTTCGGTCTAAAAACCTCAACCCGGTTAGAAAGAAAGTTCGTTTTTGATTGGATCAACAGTGAGATTCTCGAGTTCTTCGAGCAGTTCACTGATCTCAAACCAACAAAGATCAGCCCAAAATGGGATATAAGCAGGATACATGAAACTCTGCTAGAGCTTGTCACTAGAAAACACATGAAACAAAGTAGAGATACAAAGGAGATGCTGTTGCCAAGCTTGGAAGATGGCATTGAAGTGATAGGTAAGGAGATTGAAGAAATGTTGATAGATGAATTCATAGCTGAGTTTGTGATAAGAGTTACATAAGCTATCACTTATACTAAAACATTTATGAAAATAATGCAAACGTTTCTAACAAGTTTAAATTATCACAATTCATAAGATGTTGTTGGATATAGAGTTTCAGCTGTGTTGATGAGTTATATCACAAAGTTCAAAGTGGGACTCTAGTGGAAGATAGGTGCGGTAAATTCCGAAATTTTACCGACTGGTTTCACAACAACAGAGAGGGAGGTAAGACAGTAAAACAAAAGGTAAATTAAGGATTTGGAGTTTGAAGATTTGGCAACGGGGGGAGAGTTGGAGTAGTCCAAAACTGAGCATTTTTAACCTTTGAGATGCTATCCAATATTTCCAAGGGAGTGATGTCTCCAGTCACTGTCACTTTCTTTGCAGCAAAATCTATGTTGAATGATGTCACCCCTACAAAGGAATCAAAATCATTTAGACTAAAGCCGGTTCTAATGATGAACCAAACCGGTTTGTGTATGGGTAGAATAACCAAATCAAAGTGTCCCCATAGTCTCTAAACCGGAACAAATTGAAAGTAAACCGGTATCTAACCAAATAAGGAAAAAGAAAGTGGCATTCTGGTAAATAAAGGAGTTATCAATCTACCTTGCATTCTAGACAGATGTTTCCTAAGTTTTGCTTCACAGCCTCTGCAGTGGAGAGACACTTTGAGTACAACAACGACCTGCTTCTCCTCCTCCTGATAATGCAACTCTAATCATTACCTTCTTAACACCATTTATTTACACTTATACCACTCTTCATGCTAACAAACAAAAACAACTTACCTGGTCTGAACCACCACCACCACCACAAGATTTCTCTTCCATCAATGACACCACCGGCTTTATCTTTTCACTAGGAGGAAGTCTAGGACTAGCAGCTACCTCCTTAACCTGATCCTGACCCGCAGACCCGTTAAGAGAAACCGGGTCGGATCCCAAAAGATACCTAGTAGAACCTGGAGGAGTTTTAGTAAGATCACAAGCAGGTCTCGCAACACAGCTAAAACTCTTCCTCGCCAAGCTAATATCACTTGTTATAAGCTTCAACAACGCCGCCGCTCCACCTCCACCGCCGGTGCTTTTACGGCCAGTGAAGCTCCTCCTTCCCTTGTAGACCTCTAGTGTCTTGTTACTGCTGATCTCTCCTTCCGCGGGAGAAGCAGGTATTCTTATGTAGTCGTCTACAGAGGATCTCCGGCCATCTTTGATGATGGGGTTGTGGCGGTCTATAGCTCGGCCGCTGCTTTTGTCGTCCTTGTCGGCAGCGACGGTGACGGTGGTTGGTTTGTGAATGTGGTCCATGCTTGAACATATGGCTGTTGATGCTTGTGAAGCGCAGAACATAGGTCCCTTCATTTTG